AGGCTGGCGGGCTGGGGGGGTCCTGCTGCTGGTCTGGGGGCCACGGCCCGGCCCCTGGGACGCCCAGTGGGTGGGGGCGCGGGGCTTTGTGCTCTGAGTGTTTCTGCTTCATTACACATTGCCACAAGTGCCACTTGCATCACCACTGGCATGTCCCTTGAGTTAATAGAGCAAAGATACATGTATCGGGCTGCTCCAAATTGCTGCCAGCAATAAATAATACAGCCCCAGTCACTAGTATGGCAGCAATCAGTAGCAGAAACAATCATATAGCAACAACCAAAATTGCAGAAACAATCATATAGCAATAACCAAAATTACAGCAACAACCAGTTGTCAATAGAATAAACCATGCCAGCATATACTATACCACTTAGTATAGTATATTATACTCATATATGCTGTATGGATGATGTTTATGCTGTCATATGATATTATATGGTATGATGGGATGGGATGGACCAGTAGCAAGCAGGTATATATTAATACAGCTTGCTCAAACTCGTCAGAGAGACAACAGCAGGTCTGCTTAAGGTAGATGATTTACCTATACCTTATATCCCTATATGTAATACAGGTGTGAAGAGAATTAGATTTCAGAAGGGGCCAAACTATCTGTCCCAGGTGAATTATTGAGAGTTCGTTGTCGTGGAATAAAGTGAAAGGCTTTTATTAATGGCTAAATCATGATCAACTGATAATTAATTGATGATTGGGTAATAATAAAAATGTAATCAAATGGTGATTAAGCAATAATTTGGTAATGAAGCATAATGATCTAAATTATTATTTTAATGATAATTTAGGCAGCAAACACTCCACTACTTGCTACTCTTCTAATAACTAAACTACAGCTGTATATATATATATACATATATGTATATATATTAAAAAAATGTAGCTAACATGGAATATACCTTTAGGGCTAATGTAAACTGTTGCTTACTTTATTACAGATGTCAGGTACAAGAGTCTGTCAGCCTACAGGGGTGACCTTGAGGGTGTCCTTGCTCAAGGGAGATCCCTGCCATGCAGCCTGCTGTGCAGGGAACTCGGGGGTCCAGACATCCTGGTGTTCGGTGTAAACATGAACCATGGTCATGGTCTGCAGGGCAGGGCCTTGCACTTCAGCCTGGGCTGTGTCCAGGGTCACTCAGTCAGGGGGGCACCTGACAGACCGTCCCAGGGGACACCCCAGAAGTGGGGCCAGAGGGGATCCAGTGAGGGGACAGGGTCTGGCATTGAGGACATGCTGTGTCACAGTCAGTGTCCCAGCTGAGCAATCCCGGGCCCAGCACCTCATAGCTGTTTGTGCAGCCACCTGGGGAAGGAAAAACACCTGCAGGACTTGACATTCCTCAGAGAGAGACACTCCCTTTTGGATAAAAATTACATCTCTTTGAAGAGAGTGTAGCACACCACCACTCTAAGCAGCCAACAGATACTGTTTCCATTTTTCCCCTGGAACAGCCAATAGATGATGATATTTTTGTTCCTTCAGAGCAATTCTGGTTTTCTGGACTGTTTCCGCTGCCCTGTATCATATGTTGCTGTTACAGTCCCCTGGTTTTCACACTGATCCGTGATGTCTCAGGTGCTTTTGGTTTCCCAGAGAGGTATCTGCACTTTCTGCTGGAGTGTCTGAAAGTCCGCAGAAGAAAAAGAAAACACTGGCATACAGTGGGAAAACCAGACCTGCTGGGATAGCCCCAGCTGGGGAGCTGGGCTGCCTTGTGTGCCCATCCATCCTTGGGGGGCAGGGGCAACAGCGCCTCGGCTGCCACCCATGATCGGAGGCCTTTCCTCCCAGATCCACCAGGAGAAAACAAAATAAGAAAGCAAACTTCCACCCGTCCTGCTGGCTGTCATTGAAACCCTGCAAGTTGCACTTTCAGAGGTACTTTGAAAAGCAGCTTCTCAGAAGCTGTTGAGATTATATGCCTTTCAGTTAGTGGGTTTTTAATTACTGAAAGGGAAGATATGATTCAGCCTGGAGCAGGCTAGCAGTCTGAAGGGATTTCTGTGTGGTTTTCTTTGGGTACAAAGAAACGTATTTCAAAACTTATGTGCAGTATGGCCACTTCTGAGAGTGCAGGTCTCTTTGCTGCAGACTCTGGAAATCTCTGTGAAATTTCCCCAGATCACCTGTCACAAGCTGTTGATCTCTCTGCTTGTAATCCAGTGCGCTGGGTAATCAAGGGATAACCTGGGAAGAGACAATAACAATTCAGGAGCTTCCTGGTCAAATTAGGAGCACAGTGAAGTTCCAGGCACACTACTGAGCTGGTCTGGCCTGGCCCCAATACCTTGTTGCATTCCTGTTGGCCTTTTCTCTAAATAAGCAGTCTCACCTTGCCTGTGCAGGAGAGAGGTACTTGGCCATGCACAATCACCCTGGTGGTTTGCCAGCACCCAGAGATTGCTCTGTGCTTTGCCTAGCAAAGCAGAGGGCATGGCTGGGGTGGCTCCTGGTTCTGCAAGTGCCAGCAGCTCAGATGGGAAACCACAGCCAGAGGACATGGAATAGATGTGTCTCCCCTGCTGCAGTGTCACAACATAATGCCTGTGCAGCAGCGTGGTGATAATTTTTACCTGTTTTGGGGCCTGGTGTGTGCAGCATCCTTCCACCAGGAGCAGCTCCAGGGAGAATTGCAGCGTTCTGGCCAACTAGGACATGTTTGATGTCGTCACCCAGTAAACCCTTGAGTCCATTAATGATGCCAGCTGGCAAAGGCACTGCTCTGAAGGCTGCAAACTGCTGTGCAGGGAGCATTGCTAAGGTTTAGTGATCCTGGCACACCTTGCCCAGGCTGCTGCTGTGGCTGCTGGGCCTTGCTGGGACTGCAGAGCCAGGTCTTGGCAGGGGGTTAAGAAAATGTTGCCATCAGGGAGGGAAGTCAGTAGGTGCCACTTGTTACAAGATACTTGCTCACTCAGCAGGCAACCCTGCTTGATGTGAGCTTGTTGAATCTGTGACACCTGAATGAGTGTTGTGTTGGTGAGTCTGAGCTTGTTTGCTGTGGAAGGACTTTGTGGTATGCCCAGGGCTGCTTTTTCTCGCTTTGTGCAGTGATCCCCCCTTGTGCTTGCTCTTCAGACAGCCTCAGGCTACGTCCAGTTTGACAACTGCAACTTCGAAAGTGGGCAGCTGCAGATCCAGGCACCAGGGACGTGCCAGGTGAAGTTCTGCTCCTTCCTCCAGTCCAGCATCCACCTGCGCAGCGT